AGGGTAGACAGGAGGCACATGGGAGCATGGTGTTGGACAGATGAGAGACATGAAGGTGCAGGTATGAGAGGCTTGGTTGTACAGGGATGAGACACACATGGGGGGTCGGTACGAGAGACATGGTGTTAGACACGAGAGAGGTAGGGGCGTGTGGGTATGAGAGAGATGGCGGGTTTTGGGGGGTGGGGTGGGGGTGGGGGGTTACCTTTCGCTGCGGCCCCCTCCCTTCATGCTCCCTGACCCCTCCAGCTGGGTCAGCATGTCCAGTCGTTGGTTGATCTTGGCGATCACGGCATCGGCGCTGGTTCCCGTGGAGAGGAGGGACCCCCCGGACAGCCCCCGCTTCATCTGGCCCCCGCCCCCGTAGCCCCCTCCGTACCCCCCGCCGCTCGACATGGAGTCCTTGTAGCCGTACAGGTCGTACCCGCCCGAGCCTGCAGGAAGGAGGGAGGGACACACGAGGCAGGGGGGTGAGAGGGCAGGCGGGCGTATATTGCAATGTGTTTTGGATTCTGTATTAGGGCTTTCAGTATGTGTGAGGAGTGTGTGGGGACCTTGGGTGTGTGACTGAAGGGAATGAATGGGTGTATACAGTGACTGTGACACATGGTAGTGTGTGTGCTTGGCTTCTAGTCTGTCTAGGCTAGGCTTCTAGGCTGTCTAGTCAGGTTGCACAAGTTAACTTGTGGTAGGACTTGAATAGTGTTATGCTCACACTCACTGGTCTGGGAGCCTGCTCTGACACTGTTGCGCATTCAACTTGGAAGTCACTCTGGATAAGACCATCTGCTAAACTAATGTAATGTGGCAACGCACCTACAACCGGCGACTTATCAGTGCTAAGTGTTTACAGTACAGACACTGGGCACAGGGGAAGTTCACATGCACCCAGCTTCACACCCCGAGTTTTATAATGTAATTGTGATGTCTGTGTGTGCCTTTGTGTGTGCAGAACGTGTGGCTGCATGCGCGTTAAAGTGCACAGCCCGGGGACTGTACTGTGCACGATGCCTGAACACCTGAACATGCGTGGGTGTGCAGGGTGCTGCAGTGTGCCCGAGCGATTGGGGCCAGAACTGTACGCGTGCATGAGCAAATCGGATGGGGGTGCACCCAGCACACTCATACACCTCCTGGCCAGACACCTCACACGCAAGCACTGGCGACAACAGCACTATCAACCCCCACAGCACGGGAGAGGAAATTTACCCTGCATTATACATTCAAACAGCAGGACATTTCCTGAGCCTGTCTACCTGCGGCTGCAGCAGCCACGGCCCACCTGGGAATCCAACCTCCCGCCCTGCCCCTCAGGGGTACAGGCTTAACTCCTGAACTGCCTGAACACACAAGAAGGCCATACGAAAGGCGGCTTTCTCTTTTTTTGTGTTTTCACTCACCTCTGCTGGAGGCTCCTCCACCGCCGCCGCCCCAACTGGAGTAACCTGGAAACGAAAAACGGAACAAAAATTAAAACTGGCGAGCCTACAACATACTGTCAACGGTCGATGCGGCTCCCTATGGTCAGGGCATCCTGCTCTACACGACATCTTACCATTTAACCCAGGGTTATTCCTATGTACAAACTGCAACACTTTACGCAGACGATGTAATATCACGTAATATTACTTGCAATATATAAACCTAGCCATCTACAATTTATGGCGCAACGAGATTCCTTTCACCAATTAGGCAGCGAGTTAATTGTAAACAAAAGGAGAGGACGATTCATCCACGAGTTCTAATGCAGGTAAATTGATGCAAACTTAAAACCTAGATAAGTTTGCTAGTTTGCCTCCGGATGAAGTCAGTCTACGAAAGCTAATAAGAACTTAACGAGTTCACCCTAATTCTGACTTGATCAAATGTAAAGGGGAAAACACGCAGAGCAGTATACGATGGCTCGGCTTACATAACAAAGCGATGGATAGGGAACGGGGGGTGTGGAGAGCGGAGGGAACCATGAAAAAGTAGAAGGGCACGGCGGCCATTTTATTCAGCTTAGGATGCACGGGTAACCGACTCCATTTTAACGGGACGGATCAATTTTAAAAAATTACTCATAAGCCAACACGGTTACCACCTAACCTAATGCACAAAGCGTATGGCATAGCCGTGCGTCCGGGAAAATACCGCCGCGACGCAACAACGCGACTGAACGGTGGACTACCTCGTTTAGCTAGCTGGCGTGTTGACTTGGGAATCTGTCGGGCTGTATTGGCCTTCCATTGTTTGAGAGTCACTCGGGTGGCTAGGTAATTGCGATCAACAAAAACGAAAGGTACGTTTATGGGCGCAGATGCAACTTTTCCGATTTCCCCCACCATCTGCTACGTACGTACCGGCCCATCTGCAAAAACTCTTGCTAGGCTAAAACGTGCTGGGAACACACTGCAAGCTAAACAATTAGCCAGCTAGCTAACAGGGCCTAGAAGCTAGATCCTCAGCTGCCTAGTTGCGAGATCGTTTTGCCGGAACCTGCGGCGAAAGTGCACGGTCTTTTTCATCGGGCAGATTGATGAATTCACGTTGCACAAAGAGGTAACCAGCCAGCTAAGTTGCTTAACAAGCAGCGACATCCCAAATCATTCCCATTCCCGTGTAGCTGGAAAGGTGAGCTGGTTCGCAAGTGGGTCGATTGCGTCCAAACACTGTATACTAAAATAAACGTAAGTGTCGATGGCTTTGCTACTTCAAGCAAACACAAGTATTCACCGCCGTTAAAACATCTGCGTAGCGAAAAAGGCATACGTACCTGAACCATAGCCCCGACTATCCATGACTTCTGCTATTATTGATCTCGCTTTCCACACCGGCGTCGCTGGAGCTAGTGAACATCCGCGGCCGCCAATACGCCGTTCCCCGAGCACTGCATCGGGTGAACGGAGGCAAAGCTGCATTGTGATTGGATAGGAAGGTGATAAGTCACATTACTAGTCGTGGTGATGTCCAATCACAGCTCGCAGAGATTGGCGAGGGATGGGTCTTACTTTGGGGACGGGAAGGTGGGGGCCGGGGGGCGCGGCTCTCAGCTTTAAGTGACCTGTGATGGTTGATCTGAGAAGTATCGCGACCCAGTTAGTGAGCTAATAAGCGTAATAACTTTTATTTAATAAGCTTTTATTAGTTCCATTGGCGGCCCCTTTCCCACATTCCATTTCGATGACCTGCAACTTGGCTATAAACAATAGTAATATTACATAATTTGGAATAAAAGGATTCGAACATACTGTATATTTCACGTCCATCTACCTAAAGAGAAATTACTTTTTTGCAACTAGCCGCGTAGCGCATAAGGTGATGCATTTTACTGCGCATGACAGTTCTTTATATTTCGTTTTATTAAAAATATATATGCGTTGATATCTCTGCTGTTTGATTTGATGCAAGGACACTGCCTTACTATGAAAGCCACTGGCACACTTGGAACGCGCAATTGTCTGTACGGGTGTCCAGTGACGATGTAACCAGAAATATATTAATGCTGTTACAACTAGGCGCCTCTGTAATGTGATATATTGATTGCTTCTGGAAAAACCAGTGATCTAGTTATTGCTCCAAACCAGAAATACCTGACGCTCAGCGTCACACTGTTGCTTTCCTGTTGTTAATGAAGCAAATAACGGCTGGGAGGCGCATTAATTAAGCAAGCGGTATGTCACTGAGTTGCAACCCGATCTTCGTAACACCTTTGTTTCAATTGACGTCGATCATTGGTCATTATTATGGAAATCGGCGTCTCTATCTTGTTAACAGTAAGGGTCGAAAAGTGTCTTACGCATTTCTTTTTGGTCCACAGTGAGGAGATTCCTGTACACTGCGGTGCTACGGCAATTTTCGTTGGAGAAATCAATCTCCCACAGTACAAAGGAATGACCAGTGTGATGGTTTCACGTGCTCTGGAAAGTTGTTTAGCCGAAACGTTAGCTAGTCTCTTCAAAATTAGGTGATCCATGCAAGATACACTCTCTTTGTGCGGCTGGTAGAACATGCACTCAGATTCAATAGGTCTGTTTATGTAAAGAGAACATTTACACATTTTGTCTCGTACGTGCTTAACAATATTCTTGTTTACTGCAAGAATATCATTTATGCTTAAGTTTACAGTTTGCTAGCAAGATATTCTCATTCAGAGAAGCTTGCGCAGTTACCATCCTGACGGTTGCCATAACAATGGCTTATGTTGGAATCGAACCCGCAGCCTTTGCGTTAGGAGCCCTGTGCCTTACAGCAACTACACTGTCACTGACCGCAGTGTATCTTGCTTAGTCTCTACATCTCGTTTCATTGTCGTTGTGAACAAAATGCTTATTGTTATTATTATAATTTGCAAGGTGTGTTCTAAGTAAATATGGCTAGCTTGTATGGTTTCCCTGTCTGTCTCACAACAGAGAGGATACAGTATTGTACTGTGTAGCCTTGGCGACAGCTCCCATCGGTGGTTGTGTGAATTAAGTGCAGATTTGCTGGTGCAATTGCAACAATGTTGTGAGTTAAGACAACTAGCCCATTGAAGTCTATAATCTGCTTGACTGTGTTATGGAAAACTTACTAGCTCCTGATAGCAATAAAGGATGCTGCACTCTCTAGCTTCAACTCCCAGTGATTAAACTGACCCAGGCTCTGCGCTCGGGGGGTGCTTAGGGGTGCATTGCACCCCCAGACAGCCCTCAGCGCACCGGCAGTTGTCCCTTTATATCCTCATATCTACATCGTATTAATGACTTGCTGTGCACCCCCACGGATTGCAATTGCACCCCGCTGTATTTTCTCCTGGCACCAAGCCTGAATTGACCCCGCTTGTCCAAATGGTTTAGAGCTTTTACAGTTCTGAATTCTGCTCAACACAACTTCACACGAGCGATTAAGACCTCAAAAGGGAACATTTCATTTAATCATGCATGCCCTTACTGTTTTGGACCAACTAAAATGCCTGCAAAGGAGCAGCGAATAGGGGAAATCAACTTGCGAATGAGCTAGATACCTGTTAGAAACCAGGGACCAGGATGGCCGAGTGGTTAAGGCGTTGGACTTAAGATCCAATGGACTGATGTCCACGTGGGTTCAAACCCCACTCCTGGTAATACATTATATTTGGCACTGGTGGAATTATTAGAGGTAAGGTACTTCATTCAAAGCTGGTTCTGTTGGGGCTAATTGGTTGAAGCAATGCGGCTTCACATAATGAGAAGGGTGTGTGTAACCTCAGTGATTCTCCTTAACTGCTGTTGCACCCTTGTGTGAAGTGGTACCTGATTGCCTCAGTAAATATCCAGCTGCTCATCTTTAACAAAAAAGTCTCAGTAAGACTGTCTGCAAAGAAAATATAGTGGAACCTACAAATGTGTTTGACTCTTCTCCCGTCTTTGAGGATGTAAAACAGAGGCCTGTGGTTTTGATCAAGGATTGGGTGAGGAGAAGTTCTGGGAGAGGGGTTAGGAGCTGGGGCGGCCCACGACAGTAGTGGGGCATGTTTTCCCACTTCTTTTACCGAAACAGCCATTACAAGCTTGTCAGCACTGACATTTCCTCTTTATCTGAAAATGCGACTTTTTTCCACAATGCGTGGAAATCGTAGGTTATCCGGTTTCAACAGGATACGCACTGAAAGGCTCGCTTTTTCTGTTGGCACACACGCGCGCACGCAGTCCTGTCATTTGTCTCAGGGTCGAACATGATATACAGGGGCCAATCACAAATGATAATGCGTTTTTGCCAGAGAAAATGCACGTGCTCTTATTAAATTTGTAAATTTTCGGGAACGATTTTAGATTAGTGTTTTCATTCGAGGATGCAGAAATCAAGGCATACATCGGGGAAAAATATTGCAAGCCTTAGTCGAATACACATACGTGGGAGTGACAGAACTGGCACGATTACATCGACATCATGGACTGTGGATGCGCGTTATGTGGCTAGTTTCAACCATTTATCCACAGCCCGATTAGGGTTGATGGGTTTAAAATGAATTTTGAGATTAGCGTGAACCTTTCACAGGACTCGTCTCCGTTTTTTTCAGCTCGTAGGCTCTTTTTTTTTTACTTTGAAGATAATCCCATTTTGAAGTCTCAAAAGAAGATGATCGTTTCGAGGAAGACTTGTTGACACACTGAGGACGCAACACTACTCTATCGATTAAATTGATCAATGTATGCCGTTTGTTTGAATATGATTACCAGATATGTTACCTGAAATCATTCCATACATATATAAAACACACATAGGCCTACATGAATATAAACAAATTCAATAAACGAGGAAGGAGGAAAAAATGGCGTCCATTTCACCGGTTAAGAATGTACTGCTCTAGAGTTTCATGTAAAATGGGCTGACACTCTGTTATAAAATGTGAGCTTTTCGTACACAAAAAAAGAAAATCCATAGCAACGCCACTTTGCAGGGTGCGCGGAGCACGTCACAAACATATCTGGCTGAATCTGTGTATAATTTTTTCTGGGGGGCGTGCTGACATTGGGATACAGCGGCGAAGGGATCTATTTTCATGATGTGCTACGAGTACGGGGCGTAACGCACAAGGTCGAGCCTCCCAAAACTCACCACTCGGAGTCCCTGCACGTCCACACGCCCCTTTCTGCCGTTTTGCGCCGACAGAATTTTTTGCGTGGCTGCGTACGGCTGCAGTGACGCCTTTTCACCACACGGGGGAAGCAGTGACAGGCACTGTCAGCGCGTGAGGACGTCACTGTCAATCAACAGATGGCGCTTTGTCCGCGTGTTTCCAAACGTTCTGCGGAACAAAATTGCACGGTGTGTCTGTGCTTCCCACGAAGAAACTCAGTTCTGCTCAGAACTGACATATCTGCTGGTCATTATCTGTAAAATACCACCAGGGTGATATCCAATATGGCTGCCGAGCACATTTTCACCCATCAGTAAGTTCACACAGATTGCACTTACCCACTTACTCATTCATTCAATTATTCATCAACCTGCTCCCATTAGATCTGTACTCTACTCGTGCTCAGACTCTTTGTCATGGACTTTTATCCCCAACTACCGGCAGTGTGCTCACAGAAGATAATTTCCGATTACCTTCTCATGGCATTGCTTAATTGAGCTTTAGCCCTGGACATTTATCAGTCGACGTGTCTATATGTGCGTGACATCACCCCCCACCTGGTCATGCCTGCTATGGCTGCTGAAAGTCATTTTCAAACAGGTCAGTGACATTGTTTGCTCACTCATTATCGCTCGTTTGTCTCGCTTATCTGGCCTCTTCCAGGTCCCCGTGCACCTGCGGTCGTGACTCCTGGTCCTTGATGACGGTCGGCAGCGTCGCAAAACAAGACGTGTTCCGTGCTTCACGCACAGTGCTTGATAATGCTCAGAGCGTCTGCGACGCTTATTCGTGCCGGTAGCACAAACTGCTCTTTCTTACGGCCCTGCCTGTGGAAAACAACGTCCCTGGATGTGCTGAGAATATGCTGATGAATGAGAATATGCTGAGAAGATATTCTCATTCAGAGAAGCTTGCGCAGTTACCATCCTGACGGTTGCCATAACAATGGCTTATGTTGGAATCGAACCCGCAGCCTTTGCGTTAGGAGCCCTGTGCCTTACAGCAACTACACTGTCACTGACCGCAGTGTATCTTGCTTAGTCTCTACATCTCGTTTCATTGTCGTTGTGAACAAAATGCTTATTGTTATTATTATAATTTGCAAGGTGTGTTCTAAGTAAATATGGCTAGCTTGTATGGTTTCCCTGTCTGTCTCACAACAGAGAGGATACAGTATTGTACTGTGTAGCCTTGGCAACAGCTCCCATCGGTGGTTGTGTGAATTAAGTGCAGATTTGCTGGTGCAATTGCAACAATGTTGTGAGTTAAGACAACTAGCCCATTGAAGTCTATAATCTGCTTGACTGTGTTATGGAAAACTTACTAGCTCCTGATAGCAATAAAGGATGCTGCACTCTCTAGCTTCAACTCCCAGTGATTAAACTGACCCAGGCTTGGTGCTCGGGGGGTGCTTAGGGGTGCATTGCACCCCCAGACAGCCCTCAGCGCACCGGCAGTTGTCCCTTTATATCCTCATATCTACATCGTATTAATGACTTGCTGTGCACCCCCATGGATTGCAATTGCATCCCGCTGTATTTTCTCCTGGCACCAAGCCTGAATTGACCCCGCTTGTCCAAATGGTTTAGAGCTTTTACAGTTCTGAATTCTGCTCAACACAACTTCACACGAGCGATTAAGACCTCAAAAGGGAACATTTCATTTAATCATGCATGCCCTTACTGTTTTGGACCAACTAAAATGCCTGCAAAGGAGCAGCGAATAGGGGAAATCAACTTGCGAATGAGCTAGATACCTGTTAGAAACCAGGGACCAGGATGGCCGAGTGGTTAAGGCGTTGGACTTAAGATCCAATGGACTGATGTCCACGTGGTTCAAACCCCACTCCTGGTAATACATTATATTTGGCACTGGTGGAATTATTAGAGGTAAGGTACTTCATTCAAAGCTGGTTCTGTTGGGGCTAATTGGTTGAAGCAATGTGGCTTCACATAATGAGAAGGGTGTGTGTAACCTCAGTGATTCTCCTTAACTGCTGTTGCACCCTTGTGTGAAGTGGTACCTGATTGCCTCAGTAAATATCCAGCTGCTCATCTTTAACAAAAAAGTCTCAGTAAGACTGTCTGCAAAGAAAATATAGTGGAACCTACAAATGTGTTTGACTCTTCTCCCGTGTTTGAGGATGTAAAACAGAGGCCTGTGGTTTTGATCAAGGATTGGGTGAGGAGAAGTTCTGGGAGAGGGGTTAGGAGCTGGGGCGGCCCACGACAGTAGTGGGGCATGTTTTCCCACTTCTTTTATCGAAACAGCCATTACAAGCTTGTCAGCACTGACATTTCCTCTTTATCTGAAAATGCGACTTTTTTCCACAATGCGTGGAAATCGTAGGTTATCCGGTTTCAACAGGATACGCACTGAAAGGCTCGCTTTTTCTGTTGGCACACACGCGCGCACGCAGTCCTGTCATTTGTCTCAGGGTCGAACATGATATACAGGGGCCAATCACAAATGATAATGCGTTTTTGCCAGAGAAAATGCACGTGCTCTTATTAAATTTGTAAATTTTCGGGAACGATTTTAGATTAGTGTTTTCATTCGAGGATGCAGAAATCAAGGCATACATCGGGGAAAAATATTGCAAGCCTTAGTCGAATACACATACGTGGGAGTGACAGAACTGGCACGATTACATCGACATCATGGACTGTGGATGCGCGTTATGTGGCTAGTTTCAACCATTTATCCACAGCCCGATTAGGGTTGATGGGTTTAAAATGAATTTTGAGATTAGCGTGAACCTTTCACAGGACTCGTCTCCGTTTTTTTCAGCTCGTAGGCTCTTTTTTTTTTTTACTTTGAAGATAATCCCATTTTGAAGTCTCAAAAGAAGATGATCGTTTCGAGGAAGACTTGTTGACACACTGAGGACGCAACACTACTCTATCGATTAAATTGATCAATGTATGCCGTTTGTTTGAATATGATTACCAGATATGTTACCTGAAATCATTCCATACATATATAAAACACACATAGGCCTACATGAATATAAACAAATTCAATAAACGAGGAAGGAGGAAAAAATGGCGTCCATTTCACCGGTTAAGAATGTACTGCTCTAGAGTTTCATGTAAAATGGGCTGACACTCTGTTATAAAATGTGAGCTTTTCGTACACAAAAAAGAAAATCCATAGCAACGCCACTTTGCAGGGTGCGCGGAGCACGTCACAAACATATCTGGCTGAATCTGTGTATGATTTTTCTGTGGGGGGCGTGCTGACATTGGGATACAGCGGCGAAGGGATCTATTTTCATGATGTGCTACGAGTACGGGGCGTAACGCACAAGGTCGAGCCTCCCAAAACTCACCACTCGGAGTCCCTGCACGTCCACACGCCCCTTTCTGCCGTTTTGCGCCGACAGAATTTTTTGCGTGGCTGCGTACGGCTGCAGTGACGCTTTTTCACCACACGGGGGAAGCAGTGACAGGCACTGTCAGCGCGTGAGGACGTCACTGTCAATCAACAGATGGCGCTTTGTC